CGATGGACCTGATGGAGAACTGCAGCAGAGGGCGGGTGCAATGCTAGTTTACTATTGGCTATTGCAAATTGAAATAGCCAATAGGAATCTAGCAATGCATTCCTATGGGCAAAATTTTTTTTTTTGTTTTCTATTCTATTCTATTTTCTATTCTATTCCGTGTCAGAATAAAAAAAAAAAAGCAGTATTTCTCTCCTGGGCGGCCGGGAGCGGGAGACTCCCAGATCGCCCGGCAGAGGTTTTTTCTTTTCTTTTGACTGCAGCAGAACCGCTGGCCAATAGAAAACTATTGGGCGGAGCTAGCTGTCATTGCTAGCTCCGCACAATCGTTTTCTATTTTTTTAAAAACTTTTTAAACTATTTTTCTGTTCTGCTTGGTCCCTCTGAGGGACCACTCACTGCTGTTCGGCATCTATAAGAATAGACCGAACAGCAGCGAGTAGCCTGCCGGAGGTTCGGCTTAGCCGAACTCCTTCTGCACTTCGGGTCGGCCGAACATGCTGAGCATGTTCGGCCGACGTGAAGCCACCCGATGTACGGCTGATTTCAGCCGATATATGGCTGAAATCAGCCGTACCAGCCTGAAGTGAATAGCTGAACAGCGTTCGGCTCACTTCACTTCAGGTTGGTCTTTCACTCGGCTGCCTACGGCAGCTTAGTGAATAGACCCCATAGTCATTGTTTTCAACTGAAATAGGAGGCTTAAAATTAGGTGAGGAACAGCCAAGCTTTGCTACTAAGGTGAGGTTGTGGAATACAGTTTCATGTCACAGGTCATACACCATGGCAAGACTGGGCACAGCAAAAAGGCACAAGGTAGTTGTACTGTATCATCATTGTCTCTCCCAGGCAAAGACTGGGGTTTCAAGATGTGCTATTCAAGCTCTTTTGAAGAAGCACAAAGAAATGGCAATGTTGAGGACAGTAGACACAGTGGCCAGCCAAGAAAACTTAATGCAGCAGATGAAAGGCACATAATGCTTACTTCCCTTCAACATCCAGCAGTGCCATCAGCACTGAACTGGCAAAAACTAGTGGGACCCAGGTACACCCATCTACGGTCTGGATAAGTCTGGCCAGAAGTGATCTTTATGGAAGAATTGCAGCCAAAAAGCCACACCTCTGGAGTGTATGAAAAATGGCAGCAGGTGCTCTGGACTGATAATTTGAAATATTTGGCTGTAGCAGGAGGCAGTTTGTTGCCAAAGGACTGGAAAACAGTACAATAGTGAGTGGCTGCAGGCAACAGTGAAGCATGGTGGAGGTTCCTTGCAAGTCTGGGGCTGCATTTGTGTAAATGGAGTTGGAGATTTGGTAAGGATCAATGGTGTCCTCAATTCTGAGAAATTCAATCAGATACTTATCCATCATGCCATACCATCAGGTAGGTGTGTGATTGGACCCAAATGTATTCTACAGCAGGACAATAACCCCAGTCAAGGCCATTAAGAAGAACTATCTTCAGCTTAAAGAAGAACAAGGAGACCTGGAATTGATGGTTTGGCCCCCAAAGAGCCCTGATCTCAACATCATCGCATCTGTCTGGCATTACATGAAGAGACAGAAGGATTTGAGGCAGCCTACATCCACAGACAATCTGTGGTTAGTTCTCCTGGATGTTTGGAACAACCTACCTGCGGTATTCCTTCAAAAACTGTGTATAGGTGTACCTAGAAGAATTGATGCTGTTTTGAAGGTAAAGGGTGGTCACACCAAATATTGATTTGATTTGGATTTATCTTCTGTTCATTTAGTTTCTATTTTGTTAATTAATAAAAATAAACTATTAACACTTTTAATTCTGAAAGCATTCTTTCACACCTGCCTAAAAAAGACCAAAACTGGACTGCATACTCAAGATAAGGATGGACCAGTGTTTTATAAAGTGGTAGAATAATATCTGTAAAAAATAAGTCAAGGCAACTGGACTTGCTGTATTTTTTTTCTTGAAGACATTTCACTGGACATCTGACCAGCTTTCTCAATTCAGAATGACTTGTACAAAAAATTATCTGGAAATGAATATAAATAATTTTTTGTACAAGTCATTCTGAATTAGGAAAGCTGGTCGGATGTGCAGTGAAACGTCCTGTTGCCTTGACTTATTTTTTACAGATATACCATGACCTGGATAAATGAGAACCTTCACAGACACGTGGTAGAATAATGTTTATATTTCTTGAATAAAAGAACTCTTTTAATGCAGGATAGTAACCTGCTTGCTTTGTTAGCTGCAGCTTGGCATTGCAAAGTCTATAAGGACCCCTAGATCTTTCTCCATCCCCAACTTTCCAAGAGGAGCACCTCCTAAGGAGTATTTTGCATGCATGTCTTTAGCTTTAGCTGAGATTAAGCTTTTCATTTCAACCTCTATATTGCTTATAAATAATATAAACAGAATTGGTTCCAGGACCAATCCCTGGGACACTCTGCTGATGACCTTATGCTATTCAGAAAGTGAGTCATTTACCACTACTTTCTGGATCCATTATTGTAACCAGTTTTCTATCAATGTACAGTACATACAACTTCATCAATGCAGATAGACCTTTATTTGTAAATTAAAGATTTGTGGGGTAGTGTTGCAGATGCTTTAGCAAAATCAAGATAAACACATCCACTGGCCTTTCTCTTTCTAAATTACTACTGACATGAATGGCCCTTCATAAATGTTACTTGTGATATCATTTTCACAGGCAAATTCTTGAATACAGTCCCTTTCCCTTCCCACAAATACTTTACATACCATTGATGTTAGGCTGGCTAGACTGGTGTACACTTTGATGCTGTTTTGAATATTGTACTACATTTGCTTTCTGTCAGTCAGTTCCATTCCAGATCAGCTGCAAGGATAGCACAGTGGATACCAGTGACTTAATTAATTTTTGGGCACAGCCTTATTAGAGTTCAGGTCTTCTTTAAAAAAAAATCACATTGTTAAATATCTGTGTTAAATATATAGGTTAAAAACATACATTTGTAACAGTTATCCTTGAACATTTATATGTTATGGAAAAGGTTATATTCTTTCTGAAATAACCAAATTCATACACATTTCTGATAGTATTTGATAAAAGGCCTGAATTAATGTACTTTACATGCTTTCAATCAACTCTTTTGCATTACAATCTTTTGCTTTCCATAATGTTGCATTACATTATATTCATTGTCATTGATCATAATTATTTTACTAGGATGAAAAAAATCAGTTGCTCTCCACTTACATCTGGTATAAACAGGTAAGGTCATTTATTGTTTAACTTTACATTTGCAGGCATGTAGCTGCACTACATGACTGCCTAGTTTCTATTTGGTAAACTGCTCACATATTAAGGCTGATGTACTAAAGAAGTTAAAAATTTTCACTCAATTTGTGTGAATATTCACTTAAATTATCCAATCATGTGAAAAGCAAATTCATGTTTGCAATAGTCACTTCTGCTAATGGAATGGCAATACCTACTTCTGAGGCCAAGGGTGTACTTGCTAATTTCCATGGTGTGCAGTTACTTTTTGACATAACCGTATACAATCCTTGTTAATATATAAAACCAAATATACCACATTTATACCTGTTTAAAAGACATACCAGACCCTTATCCAGGCATGCACCGAGGCAGGCATCCAGGAAATTAAAGGTAGCAAGGGTGCACCCCCTCTACTCGTGCTGTACCAAACACCAGATGCCCTTTAACAATAGGTGGGTATCTTGTAAGGGGTGGGGCGCAAAGCCTTCCACTCTTGCAAGGCCCTTTTCCCATATTGAAGGGACAATAATCTTATCAAGATCATCGGGTGGTGGGCTGCCATGGTGGTGGATCATTGTGATTGACACAGAATCTACTTCAATGGATGACGTGATTAACAACAGATTTAACCTGCAGGATTTAAATTTTTTAATGGAACTTTTATTTAAGGACTTTTTTATGGTGTGGATGTTTTTATTTACTTTTGCATTTTTGGAGCAAAAAAGTCATAAGGGGTACTAATGTACTTGATATTCATTCCCCTATGGAGGGGGCAGGTATCTGGGGGGCCTTATTAACCCCCACATCCTTTTGGGGAAAGGATGTGGGCATGAGGTCCTTGTCCTTTCAACATGGTGAGAATGTGCTTTGCAAGGAAAAACTTGGAATTTAAGGGGGAATAATTTTGGGTGGCCAGGAAAAGTGAGGCAACAAGGCTGGCTGGCTTGTTTACAAACAGAAGACAGCCAAGCATCTGTCACCTACTTGTAGTAGTGTTGCTGTTTGAATGGTTGTACTGTTCCATAACTTCACATGCAGCTTTAAGGCATCCCTGTAGCATGTTATCTAAAGGATTTCTATATTTTTAAAGTTGGCCTTTAAGCTGCATTAAAAGACCCTCTCCCTGCTGAATGGTATTTTCACAACATTTTTTGCTTGGCCCATGCTCCCAAATAGAAGTGTTCAGCTACCTATGTCCTTTCTTACCAAAATCTTGCAAAGTATCCCTACATAAGGCCAGAATTTTTTTTACAAGATTCCCATTCCATTGGACTTCATTAGGGTTCAGAGCTTTGTTTGGGGTTCATGGACTTCCCGTTGGGTCCACTAAAACTCCTGCAAACTGAATTTTGCCTGGTTCACTCATCCTTACTTCATAACACAATTTCTCTAAACAGAGAACCTTCCAATGGCATTTTGAGAATAATGCATCAAAAACTTAAATATTTGTAAAGATAAGCAATGCAACACTTTTTCCTTAAAGCACATCTAAACCCAAAAACTAAAATGTGATGTACTGCAGCTTACCAATTACAATGTGGTATCTGCATTAGTTTTCTTTTCTTCTGGCTTTCTTCCATTTTTTTACCTCATGATCTGGCTAGTCACACACTTAATGTGGCTCCACTTTATGGAGGAGCAATGGAGTCACCCTTGGACAGAAGCATTATCAACTTGTGTAGAGGGTAGTATTACATGCACTAGCAGATTTAAATGGACTTGACCAACAAATTGAATCCAGACTTCAGCGAACACTTTTTAGAGAGAGAGAGAACAGAGGACCGGGCACACCGATCTAAGTGTAGCAAAATCCAATCAAAACGTAATGCACTCATAATATGGTTTAAAGATCTTGCTTGTCATAAAGCATGTAGAAGTGTGATTAATCCAAACACATCTGCACTATGAGTGATATGTCAGTAGATGAAGACAGGGCTTAGATCAGCGGTTCTCAACCTGTGGGTCGCGGCCCCACTAGGGATCGAATAACTATTTTCCAGGGATCGCCTATAGACATCCCAACTCTCCCAGACGCTCCGGGAGTCTCCCGCTGTTAGACAGCGGCTCCCGGCTGCCCGGGAGAGAGACACTTTCTTCCGGAAATATTTACTCTGCTCGATCGAGCAGAGTAAACCTTTCCCTGCTCTGGGTTTTTTTTTATTTCTGACATCGGAGCCGGCGGCCACCATCAGTCAGAAAAAAAGAAAAAAAAAACAGCATAGGAATGCATAGCTAGATTCCTATTGGCTATTTCACTTTGCAATAGCCAATAGCAAACTAGCAATTGCACTCGCCCACTGCTGTCAATCAGCAGTGGGGGACCTGAAGTTCTACATCAGGTCCTCTTCTAGTGATTGACAGCAGCTTGTTATTGGATATTGCAAATTGAAATAGCCAATAGGAATCTAGCTATGCATTCCTATGCTGGATTTTTTTTTCTGAAAAAAAAACAGAGCGGGGAAAGGAGAGAGCAGAATAAACCTTTCCGGGAGAAAGTGTTTCTCTCCCATGCGGCCGGGAGCCGCTTTCTATTAGCTATCTAATGGTAGCAAAATTACAGCAATGAAGGAGCAACGAAAATAGTTTAACTGTTAGGGGTCGCTACAACTTGGGCAATTTTATCAAAGGGTCGCAGGACTAGAAAGGCTGAGAACCACTGGTTTAGATGAAGAAGTCTCGATAAGTCCAGTATCCAGAGCGCTGAATTCATCTCGATCATTCAGCAGGGGGATGTCCTCACCAGTTATGAACGAATAAAGCAGAGGAAGAGGCAGTGCTTTGGTTACCGGAATTATTGAGACTACCTAAAGCCTAAAAATTTTTTAAAAGAAAAATGAAAAAACGAATGCAGCCACATCAAAGGCATGGTAAGCTGCAAAATAGCAGTTTTTGCTTTTGGCTTTAGAAACACGTTAAACATCATTCTAATCAATTTGGTTTGGCATAAGGGTAAGATAAAATAACAGTATAGCTTTTATTAATCTTTTTCACATGTTCTCCTTTTATGTGCTTTTATAGAGCTGGGTGGATGAGTTTCTCACATGGGATCCTATGAAATTTGACAATGTGTTAAACATTACCCTTCCTGTACACATGGTCTGGGTACCAGATATGACCGTTACTGAATCGTAAGTATGCATTTTATGTGTTTACAAAAAATGTGCAGTTGTAATGCACAGTTTGAAACTTTACAAAATATATTAACCCCTTGATGACCCATGATGGGATAATTCCGTTATGGGTCCTCAAGGGGTTAAACAGACTCTGTTCATATTTGTAGAGCCAGCAGCCGGCTTTATAGTAGAAGCAATTCTGGTGACTCAGCTGTTGCCAGATCGTTTCTATGGGCCGGTAAAGTGCCAGCCCACCGCCGTAATTCCCAGGCTCCTTTGCCCCTCCTGCAGGCCTGGGACCGGCATGCCGGGTGCCGGTGGGAAGCTAGGGGGGAGATCGGCAAACTTCCTTTCACCGATCTCCTCCCCGCATTATGGGACCGGGCGAAACTCTAATGATATCACTTCCAGTTCCATAGCTGTCATTGCTCGGCTCCTGAAGCCAAGCAATAAGCTATTGATGTGCGATCTGCACTCCGATAGCTTATTTAAAATGGAAAGGTGATACTAGGGGTCTTTTGGAGGACCTGTCACTGCCAATATGCTATCACATGGGGGGCTTGTAAGCCCCCCCTATGTGATAGCAATTAAAGTAAAGTAAAAAAATACTGTTTTAAAAATAATGTTAAATAAAATAAATGTAAAAATAATTAAAACATGTTTTTAAAGTCCCCTGCCTCCACCAGCATGCGCGTCTTTGCGTAAACATGCATTAGGTGCGCCTACTTAAGAAAACAACAATCGCGCTACACATGTTGGATATTGCTGCGCACGCCAGAGTGAGAGCAATAACTCTAGGGCCAATATTTACATGTATCTCTAAACTGATGACCTGTAGGGGCTTTTAAAGCGTTGCCTATAATGTTTGGGGGTTTGAAGTAATTTTCTGGCCTAAATTGATAATTGATTATAACACATAGGCAAAAAACAAAAGAAAGGCCCTGGTCCTTAAGTGGTTAAACAGGTATACAGTATAAGCAGAAATTCTGCATAGGATGAACCAGAGGTATCCCAAGACAGCCTTGCCATTTTAGGGCATGTAATGTCAACTTGTTTAGTGGATAACTGAGTTTTATGTGTGGTGCAATCTATTGTACCAAATAACTAGGGATGAGAGAAGCGGGCTAAGGTTCACTTTGTGGAAGCTTGGGTGAACCCAGCAGGATTTCAGCAAACCATGAACATAGCACCGAAGCCCATTAAAGTGTATGGGAGCAGAAACCTATGGGTTTTTTCTGGCCTTTCCCAAGCCTTTTGCAGGGCCAGTTTGCAAGCTTTTGTTGTAAAAAGGCATAGGTAGATGATCACTGCGATGGGGGAAATATCCTAATGAAAAAAAAATTATATTCAGCAGGGAGAGATTATTTTAATGAGGCTTAAACGGCAGCATTAAAAATATACAAATCTTTAAATAACATGCTTTGGGGAAACCTTGAACCTGCACATAAAATTGCAGAGCAGTTCAATGTACTTATTTAAAAGTGACATTGTTTGTTGGCAGGTTCCTGGCTGGCTTATGGTTGTGACGACCAAACAAGGGGTATGTTGTGGGGTCCCCTTAAATTTAAAAGACCCTTACCCAGTTACGCAGCCTGGATTGCCTGGAAAGGGCCAAATGCCTTCCATATTATGAGGGTTCCTTGCAAGGGGAGTGGAACAAAGCCTCCCCCACCTTGCAAGGTACCTTGACTCCTCGAGGGGACAATCACCTGATACCAACCTTCTGTCCCAAAAAGAGGATGTGGGGGTCTGTGGGGGCAGACTTCTTCAAATAAGGGGGCCCCCAAATATCCGGCCCCCACTTGCCAAATGAGTATGGGGTACAGAGTACCCCTTGTTGCTGATTCACAAAAAAAGTGAAAAAGTAAATAAAAACACCCACACTATGAATGAAGTCCCATTAATGAAGCCCATTAATTTAGATCTACATCAATCATGATGACCCACCAATGAACAATGTTGACCCGCCACAGCTCTAGCTGATTTGCAGACAATCATGCATTTTAGGAATCCAAGTAATCATGCATACATTCAGTAGGATAAAAAAAATCATCTGATTTGCAAATTGATTATCTAATTACTATTGATGTACTTGCTTTTCTACAGACAGACACATTGGTTAACCCCTGCATGGTTGTTTTGTATTCTAGAGTGAATGCGGAGAAGCCCCCTGAGATCAGTTATGTCTTTTTACTCAACAATGGCAGAGTTTTGAACTACAAGCCAATGCAAATAACATCTACTTGCACACTTGACATCTTCTATTTTCCCTTTGATTACCAGAACTGCACCCTCACGTTCGTAAGCTGGATGCACACAAGTATGTCCATTGTCGGTGTCCTAAGTTGTCTAAAATTTACATTTACATCATTTTAACATGTGATGAGACTGAAATTCTGACACATGAAGCTCAAAGGATTATATTTCTGAAAAAAGAACAAAAGAAATGCCTGTGATCTGGCTCCGCGAATGTATGGTTTTAATTACTTTTAAGGGATTGATTTTCTGAAGGAGCAGAGAATATACACTTTGCAAAGTGAATGCCCACTTATATTGGTGAATATGCTAAAACTGAGGGGTCTATTCATGAAGCATTCAAAGGATCTAGCCGTAGCTTCGGCCGATCATTTGGCTAGCTTCGGCCCCAGGAATAGCAATGCATTCCTAGGGAAAAAATGTTTTGTTTTTTTTCTATTCTGACACGGCTCCATGTCAGAATAAAGAAAAAAAAGAAAAAGCCGAGTTTCTCTTCTGGGCGGCCGGGAGCGGGAGACTCCCAGAGCGCCCGGGAGAGGGTTTTTTTTTGGACGGCAGCAGAACCGCCGGACAATAGAAAACTGTTGGGCGGAGCTACATAAGCAAGGGTACTCATGTATTACTCTATGAATCTTGCTCCCTTTGTTCCCTTTTTATTACTTTGTTGCTCTCTTGTTTTCCTCTGCTCTTCACTGGGGCCAGTGTTTTCGGATTCTGTTGTCTCCATTTGTTTTTTTTAATAATTGGTCATCTAAATTTAAAAAATGGTGCTCTCATTAAAATAAAATTCTGCTATGGATATAAAGCACAAGCAAGCACATAGGGCTGTGTGCACATATTTGTAGCAGCTTTCCAAACTCTATTGTCACGGAAGAATCCAAAGCCGTCCTTGCGGACAAAACTTTGGCACTTTCTGAAGCTAAGTGCCCAAGGTTAGCCACCCCTTGTTGCGTCCTACACCTTCCTATTGACCAATGAGATTGGCCATCACAGTGATGGGCCAGTAAGAATGTGTGTAGGTGAGGCATAACTTCAACCTTCTGCACTACATACCTGGGAGGGTACCTGAAACAGTTCTTCCTTCACAAATAACTTCTAGCTTTTTTAATAGACACAGGAGACCCAGTGATGCAAAATTTGAATCTGTAATCTGATTCACCAACTTTGTATTAACAAAAACATTCCTGATCATTAACAGGTGAACCCCAACACTTAGGGTACTCCTGTTTTTCCCCCAGAATATTATGCTATCAAAAGGAGGCATAATAAAGAATTGCATTATACAATTTTGGAAATCATTTTGTGACTAGTAAAAAACTTTCTGGCCGCAGCTCCCTCCCTCCGTCCCGTCTGCAAGCCGTTCCACCCGACTACCTCGGCTTTAAGGATGCCTGGACGGCATCAGAGAGCTCCAGACAGCTGCAGCCAGGTACCGTACTGTGACACTGTGTGACAGTCAGCTGATTATATTGATTTAGCCTTTGAGAAGAGAGAGATCAACGAAACATATTACGTACACCATATTAATAATTATGGGGAGTGGGAACTTAGCCGTGTAATTCCAAAATATGAAGAATTAACTGAAGATGATATGGAGTATGGAGAAGTCAGTTACATTGTAAGTATGTAGACTTTTTTTGATTGGTTATATAAAGCTGAACTACAGGCAAACTGCTAAATAGGCAGATGAAATACATATGTGGGGCCTGTTTTTCCTGCCAGAGGATTTGTTCTTCTGTCAAACCAATTCTGTGATTTATACAGCTCTGCCATGCATCTTAGCCGAGTCTGTCAGGGCAGCGGATCTGATTTTGCTCAATTACAGTTAAGTGATACTTACAGGTCTTATTCCTCCTTTAGAACTGTGATGGACAGGGCAAGGGAAGCAGCAGACGTATGTGTTTATCTTTCTGCCACTCTGATCTCGTCTACTGTCAGCATATCCCTTAATTAGTGCATTAACACTGCTGCATAACTTTTCTGGCTTCTTCTTCCTTTCCCAGTTGAGCTCTGCTGTACAGGGGATTGCAATATGTTGATATAAATTCATATTTAGGAATTACACTGCTTGCATTTAAAAAATACATATTTGTATTAATTAATACAAAGATGCATAAAATGTGTCTTTTATAACCTTCTGTAAATACAAGGGCACATGCATAAGTTAATGTTCCTACTTCATGCTGGAGTGAATATTAGTTCATTCACCTGTCCATGTGGTGGCCATGTACTATAGTATAAAGGCTTTGTAAAGGGGCAGAGCTTGGAACTGTACAAGTTCAACATGTTCAGAAAATGTTGCCCATCATTTTGCAACGTAGATGGACAGTGGAGCAATTTGGAGAAAGATTGGTGTGTAACACTTTTTCACATATCTGTCTGGCATGAAACCCTTGGACTTAGAATGCAGCACTTTCATACAGGAGGGCAGATATTTCTTGATTGAAACAAAGGATCTATGAGGGCTGGTGCACACCTAGGCGACACCTCACCGCGCGGCAATCGTGCACCATTCCACGCCGATTAACGAGTGGTCGCGGAGTCGCCCAGCACAGATGGTCACTGTGTGGATGCCATTATTTTCAAATGACACCCTAGTCGCGCCAGGCTGATCGCACATCGTGTATTGCAAAAAAAAAGGTACATTTACCTTTTTTCTGCAATTGCCGCGTGGCTATCACCCCATTGAAATCAATTGAGCTGTGCGGCAATCGCTGTCTGCATTGTGCTCAGGTCTGCACCAGGCCACTCGCGAACAACCTTAAAACTGTTTTTTGAACCAACAAATGTAGAGATTAGTAAACTTTTATTTTTTCCTTATAGCAATTGTTTGGAAAAAAAATGCTTTAAAAATATGTTTTCACAGTTGCCCTAGTTCAAGGAAAATTTTAACTTAAACTGCATACTCCTATAAAGGAAACCTTTATTTAGTGCAGGAGGCATTTGCAGCAGTGCTTTTTCCACTCTTCCACTCTTCTCAACTCTCTCTGGCTTGTTCTCTTTGACACTTTTTATTTAGGGATGTTCAGATACCAGTTCAGATAACAGTTCAGATGCCATGCCAGTGCTGATCAAATCATACATTAAAACAGGGATGCACAAATCCCAGCTGCCTCCTAACTTTTAGTTTTTCTCTAGTCTAGTCTTGGCGCTGGAAAAGTATCTGTATATGTACTTGTACCAAGTACGGTACTTGGTATCTGAACATCCCTACTTTTTTTGTCTCGGAAACCCTGTGACACCCAGAGGCTGTTTCAGGCAGCTAAGTTTGGTCTGTATCTCTACCGGATACCTGGCATACCTATCTTACAGATGGAGACAGATATTTTTTGTTTTGAGAATAAGACTAATTTTTTTAATTAGAAAAAGAAGACCAAGTTCGGTGATATAAACCTTTTATAAAATTTACAAGTGATCACATGCTTTAGTTTAGCTTCACCCTCTCTATCTGTCCTGGTGACTGCTATGTCTGAGATTGTAAGTTAAAAAAAATCCCACATTTTTGGTTGTCATCAGAAAAGGAATACATGGAAAATCTTCCAATGGGGACACTGGTTCTAGTGACCCTGCTGACCACCAAGGATTTCTCCTTCTTTGGCGGGATTTCCTCTCATTTCCTGTTGTAGCGATCAATGGAAATCTCTCCAATGGGACACTGATGGCAAAAAAAGCTGACAAGGGTTATAATTCTACCTAACTCTATCCAAAACGAAACAAAATAAAAGCATTGGCTTCAGTTCTACTTTAATATTGAAATCACCAAATTATTTTTTAACTTAAAGCTGAGGTCTAAACAAACAGTTAGATAGAAAGCAGTATATACATACAGTACTGTGCAAAAGTTTTTGGCAGGTGTGAAACAATGCTGTAAAGTAAGAATGCTTTCAGAAACAAAAGTATTAATAGTTTATTTTTTATCAAAGAACAAAATGGAAAGTAAATGAATAGAAGAGAAATCCAAAGCAAATCAATATTTGGTGTGACCTTTGCCTTCATAACAGTGTCAATTCGTCTAGGTACACTTGCACATAGTTTTTGAAGGAACTTGGCAGGTAGGTTGTTCCAAACAGAATTGATGCTGTTTTGAGGAGCAAAGGGTGGTCACACCAAATATTGATTTAATTTGGATTTATCTTCTGTTCATTTACTTTCCATTTTGTAAATTGATAAAAATAAACTATTAACATTTTAATTTCTTAAAGTATTCTTACCTAAAACATTTGCACAGCAGTATATGCGATGTGTTCTCATGTGCCAAAGGATTTGTAAATCTGTCCAGCTACTTTTGTGATTCATATACCTTGGCCAGACAGTACAACCAGGAAGTTGACAGCACTCTGTTAGCTAAAGGAATATAGTAGAGTCACGTCTTTGCCCACAGCTTGCCGATTGGACAGCAAAGTATCAGCAAAACACAGATAGATCATAAACTCTACTAGCCCTCCTCTTTTCTTCTATTAGCACGATCCCTGTGCATGCAGCAGAGACTCACATAGGATCCTAGAACAGACCTTACTTTAAATATTTAAAAAAAATATTTAGGGCCCATTCACACCTGATGCTTTGGGATGCACTTGCCATTTTTTTCCAGCACAGCCCCAAAGCAAGACAAGGCACTTTGCCTTGTCACAGATGGGCACAGTTCACACCACTGCTTTGCGGTGGTGTACACTGAAACAAATACTGCATGCTGTACTTTTTTTCAGTGTCATGGATGTGACGCGGTACAAACGCCTCGCACCGCACTGTGTTTATAGAACTTTATGAAGTGACATTTCAGTAAAGCGTTGAATAGGAAATTCCAGCACTTACATGAGTCAGAGTATGAATTCTAGTTCCCGTTTATCAAAATCACATCACATTCATCATATAAGCGAATGTTTCAGGACCATGCAGGGTCCCTGCTTCAGGACGACATAGTGGTCACTGATTCCTGTGAGTGCTGGTGATTTCCTATTCAACACTTGGAGGTAACACATCCGTGTCATCCCCTATGAGCACCACTGATAACTGAGTTTCAATGATGTTTGGAGTGAAGGTTATCTACGATAACAATCAATAAATTCTGAAGAAAAAAAAAGTAAACAGTGGGATGTGCCGGGATCGGCAGACCAACATTGTGTCTAGCAACGCACAACAGCAGCTGGGCATTGCAGTGCAGCTGCTGGTGTGAATGGGCCCTCAATCACTTTAATAGAAACACATAATTGCATTAAATAGTGCTGGTTTATATTTACTTGAAGTTGAGCTGTAGTTAATATTGAACCAACTTGCAGTAATTCAGCATCAAACAAATAATTTTAATCTCCATATATCCTCTGATTTTTAACAGATAATTATCAAAAGGAAGCCACTGTTCTACGCTATTAATCTGATTTTCCCAAGTATGTTGCTCATGATCATGGATATTGTAGGATTTTACCTTCCTCCTGAGGGTGGAGAGAGAATTTCTTTCAAGGTCACTCTACTTCTAGGCTACTCAGTTTTCCTTATCATCGTTTCAGAGCAATTGCCAGCAACTGGGGAACCTCTCATAGGTAAGTGAAATCAAACTGGCTTACATATGTGCTTTTGCCAAATTAATATTTTTTTATCCCAACCACAAGGGGGGGGGGGTATCATTTGCATATGGAACAAAGAAAATGTTCACTTTAGTTTAGGAAGAGGTTCTTGAAAGTGGGATATTGAAATTGGTTAGACCGTGGCTTAGGCAGTTCCAGCAATAACCATTATAGGATTTAAAACAACGACCAGATGAGATTCTTGAAAGAAATAACATTCCAAGTTGTAATTTCTAAAGGCTAACATAGCAATATTTTCATTAGACCGACTGCCCTGGGGGTGCTGGTTGGCGGAAGGCTCAGAATTCTCTTCCCCCAAAATTGTAATATATATTACTTTTGCAAGTTATAATGATTTTTGTTTTATTTACCATTTGCATAGGTGTGTACTTTACACTGTGCATGATAATGCTTGTGGTCAGCTTGATGGAGAGCATAATGATAGTTCGAATAGTCCATAAGGAGAACCTACATCCAGAGGTTCCTAAGTGGCTAAAGAAATTGGTGTTGGAAATACTGGCTCCTATGGTTTGCTTGAGTGAATGGGCACGGTTTAACACACCCAAAGAACAGGATGCAGCTTCAACTGAAGAAACAGAGACTAGCACTGGTAAGAAATTACCTGGATGGGAAGGGGGAAGAAGTGAAAATATATGAATACTTTTTTTAAATAGCAAGTCTCTCCACTAGCTGCCAATTGACATTTTTCAAAAACAAACCCTTGAAGCAGACCATATCTAGCTTACCCTGGTACAGTTATGGTCTGTATTGGCAGTATGTACATGTACATGTGAAGTTGCTCAATAACTGTTGCAAGGCACTGGCACAGTTTAAAAGTGTTTGTATGCTTTGCAGCAAACCTGTTATTTTCCCATTCATAGCAAAGCAATAGGCAGCATGTACTTATCTTTTTGTCACTTCCCTGCCCCTTCTTTCAATGCCAGCTAAACAAAGTAGCAGGGAAATGAAAGAAAGGTAAGAATATGCCCCGTGGAGGTCTGATTTTAAATGAACCTGTTGCTTTGCACTACATGGCCTTAAAACCCACACTACTTAACAAGTATAAAATAAGTGAGGATAATAAAGGTGACATAGGGATTACATGATTGGGAAGCACTCTGATCTCCCCATCATTAATGGCATTGAAGTTAATGACAAGGTGAAAATGACTGCATCTGTCAGCGCCAGTCCACATTTAATTGTACATGCTATGATTACATGTGGTTTGGGGTAGATTATTGTCCCTAGAACACATCTCTCCTGCGTCCAGGGATAATCATCTACATATGGCATTCCTGATGCAAAAAATCTGCAGGCATCCCTGAACACAGCATAAGTTCCCATGTGAATGGGGCCTAACAAGTAGTTAAGGAGTTTTAATACAAACCACCACTGACCTTTCTAGCTGCTTGTAATGTTAATTATCTGATCCTTAAAGATCACAAAAAAAGATTCTAAAGTCAGTTTAATCCAGTTTCTAACATCTTACAGCACCTGCTATGTGTTTACATTACAGGGATGGCAGCATGACAACATTTTGTTTCCCTTAATAGAAAATTAAGGGAAAATGAGCTGTTATTTTAAACTTAAAAACTTGAAATTTAAAGATAATTGTCTCCACAATGTCTTCAGGTACAGAGGTGAAGAGCATATGTTTACTGCTGGTTCACAATATGTAAATACTTTAGTGTGCATGGGCTTGGCAAATGTTCACTTTAAAGTGTATAGGAACTAAAAACATTTTTCGCTGATTTTCTCAAGACGCAACTGAAAGTGAAAGAAAATTTTCTGAAGGGGAAATCCTTACTTAGACAGTTGTTACCGCAACAAGTTCCTCCTTGGAAGATTTCCCTCTCTATTCCTGATACAGTGACAACACAAAATTTTAGATTTTTCTCACATTCCTTTCTGGTAAAAATGGTCACCAGGACAAATAGAATGAACAAGTTATCAGGGACCCCTCGAATGATATTTACTTTGTGCTTACTTACAGCATGTGTTAGTATTGAGTAGAATTAACAATTATAAACTTCACAGTTACTAAATAATTATGTTGTTATTAAGAAATTTATATTTTGTGACAAATCTTGATTAATTTGTCTGCAGAGAAACTGACATGTTACAATAATAAAAATGCATTGGATGACAACAGGCAGCTGCCAGTGGTACAGGATTCAGAATTGCTTCATAATATATTGAAAGAAGTTGCAGCCATTCGAGAACATGTAAAAAAAAGTGACCACAAATCTATCAACCAGGAATGGCTTCGGGTTGGCTATATTATCGACAAATTACTGTTTCGAGCTTACCTCACATTCTTTTTGGTGTGTGTACTTTCCATTGGAATTGTCTGGACCCGCAGAATCTTATTTGGCATTAATTAGATCTACTGATAATGTTTTACAGCTGATGAAATTGTGTTGAAATGAAGGCAGTTTTTTACCCTTAAAGCACATTATTTAATAAGGACTACACATAGCAAAATGTCTAACAGATAGCTTAGATTACGAAGTCAGGATAGTACGTCTATCTATATATTCTGATTCATCGGTATGGATGAGCATAGTGCTTTTGATTTCTCTGCAAAATTACCAATTTTGCTTATGCTTTTTTATTTAACTTTTTTCTTTCTGTTAAATTAAAAATAAAATAACGAGACTAATGAGTGGCACAAGAACAGGTGCAGGATAGTTGAAAGGAGCTTATGTAACTCTCAGGAGCTTTTAAAACCCTCATAAAACCATAAAAACCACATCAATTTTACTTACTCTATTAATCCCAATGCACTCCACCAAAATTGTAAAATTTTGCCAAAATCTCTCAATTTTTGCATGAAAATAAAATATATTAATTTTGCTTATACCTATATAAAAACCCTGTTGATAATATGCCAGATCCAGTAATGCAATAAACTGACCAGCGCCAGAAAGATCCTTAAGCCAGAACACTCGACTCACTACGCATCCAGTAGAGGCTGCCCCGTTCCAGTCAGGGAGTCCAAAAGGCTACAGAGAAAACAAAGAACAACTGGGCGCTTTTCCTGGTGCAGGTAAAACCGTTTTATTGATTATAAAGTATACAGAAATATACTTACATTTGAAGCAGTATATGGAAGCATTGAATGGACTAGCATTCCTTGATTAGGTTGCTGCTGTTAATGTGACGGAGGAGATTGAGGAGACACTCAGGAGACTCTGTTCTCCTCACAGAGTCCCACTGCTTAACGCATTTTTGAGGAAGAGGGCATGTCCTTTTTTCATTGGCGTGTACTTTTTCCATTGATATCATAACTGACACTATACGCATCTGATTAGTGGTTAAAAAAAATGAGGTTCTTCTTTCAGACATTTTCATTACAAATCCTAATTATAATTAATCTCAGCTTAAAGTCCAAATTTAGCAAAAATGTATTGACAAAGTATGGATGGATTTTCTCTTGCAGTATATTAACGGGCATCGCTGGCCATTTTTAAATTGCGTCCATTTCCCGCTCGCGCGCGCCCGGCGGCGTGCCCAAGGGGGCGTGTCTGAGCGGACGTCTAGAGACGCCCGCTCAGATCTAGAGAGCTCCTGGCCGGCCGTTTTTTTACTAAGGCTGGCCCAGAGGCAGTTAAAGATATAATATGATGATAAAGTTTACCAATTAATTGCTATACAGTAGGGTCCAACCATATGTCAGAAGTATATGTTTAAAAGGGAAAGTGTTTAATTTGTTCTTAGTCAAGCAAATATGAAGTATTGCATAATAAATCTCCATGCAGACAGTGTTGCAGTTAGGAATCAAACCCTCACAATGGCAAAAACTATAATCACTTTGCTTCTAGGATTATATATTAAGGCTTTATCTAATATTATATTCAGTTTAATTGTTTACATTGTGAACAATTCTTTGCACTATTTAGCAACACAGCAAAATAGAAAGCTTCCAACCCTATGCAAGCAGTATTCATAAACATTCTACCAGCTTTTTTTCTGAATTTCAGATAAAGAAGAGCACAGTTTAAATCACTTCCAGGTGTTTATTGCTGAATAGATATACAGTTTGGGTTCTACACTATCATGGGTTCCTGGTGGATACCTGGGTTTGCGAAGTTCACCCATCGCAAACTTTTGGCCGAACTACTGGGGAGGGTCACCACCAGAAATATACGGCAGTTCCTAGCTGTTGCCCCTGCTCAGCCTAAAGAGCCAAAAATGTGTGTGTTGGAACTGTCAAAGAGAGCAAGAAATTCTACTGTTTATTTTCACATGATTGGATAACTGAAGTGAATTGACACAAAATGTATTGTGTGAACATGCTATAGTACACTGCTATAGTACACTGTAAAAAAAGACTCACTATGGTGTAACAAAATGTGTGTGTGTGTTGTATAGGAGTATGCTGTGGATGGCATAGAATGTGCACTTCTTAAGTGTTTATGGACTTCATAGTATTCTAAATTATTTGTAACTACCTATTAAATACATTACTACACTCACCCTTGTCTGCTTGCCTGGTATTTGTGTGTTTTTTTAATTCAAATGCATAATGTAAAACATATTAAAATTAAAAATCTGAAAATTGAAAAATATAATTGTTATGATCTTCACTTTGCAGTACACACCTGTGGTTTATATGTTGAAAAAAAATCAAAACAACAATTTCAGATATAAGTGAAATAAAACTATAAAATAAACTATAGTACACTAAATACATACGTAAAGGATGTACTATAGTGGTGTATACAAAATGTAATATGGATTTAAAACAGTTCTGACTTGCTTGTAAATACCTACTGTATTTCAAAGCAGACATTACTGTACTCACCCTTTTCAACCGGGTTTCCAGTAAGAATGTTTCCTTTTTTACTCTACATAGATCATATAAACATAATTAAAAAGAAAAACCTTTGTACAGATTAACAAAAAAAATAAAAATACAAATGTTATGACTGTCACTTTGCAGTATAGCTTAACTATGGATTAACGTATTCTAAAGGGAACTGGGAGGAGCCAGGGGGCCTTGTCTGTTCTCTAAGATTTGAGGATGACCTCACACAGAGGAGTTTACTGGTGGACAGGTTTATATTTAGGAAAGCTAATGCATACAGAGTAAGAAAACGGGGTAGCTAATGTGCAAAGAGGAAGACCTAATGCAACACTGCAAAAGAAGCTTAGGAAAGGAAAACACATCATATCTATAGATAACTTATATACCAAATCATTGCCACTGGATAGTGGAAAAGCACCACACCTGCTAGTAGATACTAACTGGAATTAGTGTGAAGTGTGTGGATGATTAATTACTTCTTTAATGTATCACGTAACTCAGAGGCATAATCGAGTTTTACTTTTACCAAGAATCCTATTCTATCCAAGAATAGAAAAAAATACCTATTTTTGCCAAGACTTTTTCAAACTGGAATCATGAGAAGAACCTCAAGACTGGTACCTGCCTGGATTATCTACTGTGCATTTATTGGCTGTCTCTTCACTGTGTGTACTGGTGAGTTGTCTTATTTATATAAACCTTTTCACATAAGAATGTATGGTCTATGCTACTACTAAAAACACCTAGAAAATATGTTGCAATAGACCTGTGGGCAACGACCTATTGTTTGTTTTAAAGCTAAAGTACATTGTACTTTAGTGAACTAATATTTTGAGTTATAGTTTACCATTATATAAGCCATTGCTTTCATATTTTACTAGCTTGCTCTTTCATATTTTTCTCTGTGTATGAAATATACTGATATTGTATCTTTTATCCTTACACCAATTGCTGACAGAAATTTTCCTGCATCTGCGTGTAACTGCTGTGTCCTAGCTGGGGAAATATAACCCTCTATTTGTCCTGGTGACCATTGAAAGTAATGGGAAATCCAAAATGTTAGAGTTGTCAATAAAGCAAGTGGTGAGGGAAACTTCTCCAATGGGGACACCTGTTCCTGTGGCAACTGCCTAAGATGGGACTCCTATCTCTTTGGAGAGATTTCCTCTCATTTCCTGTTGTATCTCCAGGAAAGGAGGAAAAGAGAAATATTTTCAGTGGGAGGCAAGCAGAAAGAAATAACATAGAGTTTAACATCTTCCCTACTCCACCCGTTTACATTCACTTTATATACAGAAAGATCAAGTAAATCTTGTTGTGGCATGTCCCTCAAGTCTTCCCGTCTCGTAGACCTGTATAGACGTGATGACATCATGGGTCCTTAGACTGCCAGTGCCGGGGGGAGAAGTTTTATTAGATAGCAGTAATAGTACTTTAACAGCCACATATTCTATTATACACAAATATCCATCAGTATTCTTCACTTGATATGTTAGAACCGCATTTCTGAAGGTCTATACATGCTTGTGTTACAGTCTCCTGATCATAGGCTCTCCATGTAATTACCTGGGGAATCTGGCCAATTGCTGTTGCTACAGGTAATTTCCTGGAGAACTGGTGACTAGAAAGCATTTACAGACCTGGAGAAATGTGGGTCTGATGTTTGTGAGATTGAAAGCACAACTGTTAGAGTACTATGGGGCAGGGCTCTCCTTACCATCTTTTCTTGAATTGTATTGTGATTGTAATGTCTTCCTTATATTGTAAAGTGCTGCGCAAACTGTTGGCGCTATATAATTCCTGTATAATAATACTATCATTGGTATATATACCGTGTTAGTCTACAGAGGGGAACTGGTCAGGGTTGATAACACTGCTGCAGGTTTCAATGCCGAACAGGCACTGTGCACCGGAAGTTACAAGCTCATTAGATTTCTGGTAGGATAAACAGGTATTTTTCTGTATCAGCAGCATTTATAGACACAAGACACAAAACAGAGAAATGTGTAAGTACTAGAGAGATGTGTTTTAATTTTTGCTCAGACATGCACTTCAATCTTGGTTCTCTGTTCTTCCATGTAGTCAGAATATAGACAGCTTCTCACAGCTTCCTTAAGGTCTCGTTCACACCTAGGCGTATTGCATATGTGCGTCTGTCGCGCGTTTTTTAACCGCGATTCGCGGTAAAAAAGTCGCGCGACAAACGTGCGTTTCCGAAGGCTACTTGGCTGTATCCCAATGGAAACGCGCAACAAAACGGCCCAAAGTAGTACATGTACCTTTTCAGGCGTGGGCCATTTTGTAGCACGTTAGGGACGGGCGGAAATACGCCAAGGTGGGAACGAGACCATTGAATACAATGGGATTTATATTTTTGAGCGTTTTGTAGAGCGTTTGTTGAGCGTAGAACGCGCTACAAAACATTCAGGTGTGAACGAGGGCTAAAGGTCAGACCTCCAAGGTGGGCTTGAGTTTGATTGGTGGCAATAAGAATCTTGTTCATACTGCTTCCTTATATCAAGCTTTTAGTATGAAATAGACAGTGGGAAGGTGTTGGTGGAATGTTTGAGAATACCTTTTCTGGATCACAAACAGGTTAAATTAAAAAAAAAAGTTATTCCCAGATCACTAGAAAAAATGTACTTGTTAGAGGTGAAGTAGGACTATCTAGGACCCTAGGCAAAGTAGCAACTATGTGCCTCCTTTCATTTTAATCACAGATTACAGTTATATAGTTACATAGGTAGTCAGGTTGAAAAAAGGCACAAGTCCATTGAGTTCATCCAATAGAGAAAAACATTGTATACATAGAAAAACCTTTATAAACATAACCCAATGCCCACAGTTATCCACAGCTGAAGACAAAAACTCTATTAAGCATGAAACAAAAACCCTATTAAGCAAACGTGTTACTCATAAACCAACACAGAAATCACCCTATCAGATTGGGGGCTCAGGAGAGTGCACCCCACCTTAAGGTTAGCATTAGTCCTCGTTTCCTGGGGACAGTTCTCGCTTTGAGAGGTCTGGCCCCGGGAAACAAACGTCTCTGGCGGCAGTGAACTGCAGTCATATACAGCCAGTTGTGTAAATGCTGTGATGGCTGCCTCTAGGACTCTGCGTCACATACTGCTAACTAGAGATGGGCTCGGTGTTCGGGTCAAGCAAGAGTTCGAGTCGAACATCGGCAGTTCGTGTGTTCAGCGAACACATGAACTGTCAGGGCGTTCAGCTGGCTTTTCACCCTCCGTATGAGCCCTTATTCGCTAAAGCCTTGGACCTGACCACTGGTCAGGTGCAAGACTTTGCCCAAAAAGGGCACAGTACTTGTCAGAGCCATGATTGGGCAAAGTCATGATGACTTTGGCCATTCATGGCTCACCTTTCAAAATCCGTACAACTGTTAACAGTTGGGTGCAGCTAGCTAGCTGTGACCGCTAGCTCCGCCCAATTGTTTATATTTTGTCGACATCTGTCAGAATGCCATCGCGTGCGGACGGGTCAGCGGGCGTAGTTTTTTAATTTGTATATTTTTGTTGTTTTATTTTGGCGAGTTGACGTTGTCGTGGACAATGCTGGACGTCGCAAATGACCCTGGATTACTTCGGTGGATCCTTTTTTTTTTTTTTATTCACATCTGAATTTTTATTAGAGATCATGGTAATAACAGCAGTACAGGAATGTACATCATACAAATATGAGGTAAGTAGTTATATGCTATTGTACATAGTTGTTCATTACTCTTTGTTTGTTTTTTTTCTTTAACATATATGAAGGATTGTAGCAGGCTCTAGAAGGGTACAACATGTGTCAAACGTGGTTACCTCCACGCACACACAGGAGATGGATTGTCATAGTTGCGAGTGTGGATTCTCCTGGGAGGTTGTGGTCCATTGTTTTTAGGAGGTCAAATTAATCCCCATATGTGTGCTCGAAGGAAGCCACATCATTAAGGCGAGCCGCCATGCATCGAGAGATGTGCTTTGAGGGGAGGTAAGGAAGAAAGAGAGTGCAGACAGAATGGGGGGGGGGGGGAAGAGCCTCCGACCAGCATGACCATATCTTTTCAAACTTGGGCATGGTGAGTTCAAGCTGGGCCGTCTTCTTCTCATGCAACATTATCCAGTTAACATGCTTCTTCACGCTGGAGACACTCAATGTATTAGTCAGCCATGATTTCGCTATTTCCCGTTTTGCTGATGTTAAAATGTGGAGGGACAGCTTAAAGGCAGCCTTTGGGAGGCCCCCAGGTTTGCAGTTAAGTAGCGCAAACCTTGGGTCCTTATCGATGGTCGCTTGTAGTAGAGATGAGAGTAAGGAGAAAATGCGATCCCAAAATCTGGACACTGTCTGGCACTGCCACCGTGTGTGGAAATAGGTACCCGGCTCTGGACAGCCCCGGAAGCAGAGTGGTGAGGCAGCTGGGTTATATTTGGCTACCTTCGTGGATACTAAGTACCAACGTGTCATAACCTTATAATTTATCTCCAGCATGCTGGAGCATCTCGAGCTAGATTTTGTGTTCAGCCAGGAGTTTTGCCACATGACGTCATCAAGAGGAGATCCCAAGTCTCGTTCCTACTGGGATATATAAGAGGGTGTGCGTGCATTTGCTTTTGTTAGTAGTGCTGAATAAATGGCTGTGATGGTGCCAGGTGTATGGGGGTTATCTCTGCATATTTTTTCAAACGGACTCAAAGTGTCCGTTGACGAGCATCTCTGTGTGTGGTGAAGGAAGAAGTTTTTGATCTGGAGGTAGCGGAAAACCTCCTTGGAAGGGAGAGCGTAATGGTCCTGCAGGTATAGGAATGGTTTCATCCCCCGTCATCGTTTGAAGCTTCCAGGAGTGTGTGAGGCTTTTATCCACCCATGCTATAAAGCGGGAGGAATTGGAATGTGCTGGTGGAAAGTCAGGATTGCGGAGGAACGGAAGTAGTGGCAGGTGCGGGGGAGGTCAGGTCTGTGGATCGGTTAATAGAGTCCCACAAGCGCAGTGAGGAGGAGGTGACGAGGTTAGTTATAGTTGGCCTGCATTTGGGGGGAGTCCAGAGGAGATTGGCAGCAGATGTGGATGGTAGGAATGATTCCTCCAGGGTCACCCAACCAGGCACTTCTGTTTCAGCATGATATTTGGTCAATTGTTCTATTTGCGCTGCTTGGAAATATTTCATTAAGTCAGGGACACCTAGTCCTCCTGAGGTTTTAGGAAGGCTAAGTGTCAGGCGGGGAATTCTGGGGCGTTTGGCGGAAGACGTGGGATTGTAGAGTGGGCAGGACTGAGGCTGGGGCCGCCACTGGCAGCACTCTGAATAGATATAGTATCTTTGGCAGAAAGGACATCTTTATTGCCGCAATCCTACCAAGCCATGAGAGGTGGTAGTGCGACCATTTGGTGAGGAGGGCCGTTAATTTAGAGATCATCCCTGGGTAATTAGCTTTATACAGCGTGTGGTAGGAAGAGGTGAGATTAATGCCCAGGTAAGGGAGCAAGTCTGAGGACCAGCGGTAAGGGAATTGTTCTTTCAGTGTTGATACCATCGAGGGGATCAAGGAGATATTTAGTGCAGTGGACTTTGATTCGTTTACTATGAGCCCGGATATGGAGGCAAATTGTGTGAGGATTTGTGTAAGGTTGGGTAGAGAGGTGATGGGGTTGGTCAAGGTCCCTCCATTTTTTAATGGCGTCCCTCCTAACATTCCTACCAGACCTAAAGGGTCTGGCATTGTTTGGGAGGGGAAACTGCACACTTTTTGTTTCTTTTTAAATGTAATTTTATTTCTTTATAAATGTAATTTTTGCTACAGCAGGTTCTATACATCCTACAGATGCGCCACTTTACAGGCAGTTTAAGGGGACCCCACAGGCACAAAATTTGAAGAAATTTTTCATTTTTATTGTTTCACTTTAACCAGTGTTAAAATCACTGCTCCTTTAAAAACTGTATTTTTTAAACGTTTACACTTTTTATGGCCAATAACTTGAATATAAGCCTTCAAAAAGGGGTCCATTGATTTTCAAAGTTCTGGTCCCTGGGACTTGCATTGAGTTCGGATTCAAACTTTTTCCATGTTCTAAAGTTAGAATTTGAACCGAACAGAGCTTGTGACCTAACATTGGTTTTAATACTTCCTCACTCTATTTAAAACTAAAAAATGGCTATAGATACACTGTAAGACCCCATTTACACTTGAGCTGAGTATCTTTCGATGTTTTCTCAGGCTTTCACTTTTTTTGAGTGTTTGTACAGGCATTTTCACAACCGTTTCAGGTTTGAGTGTTTAATTTTATTTTTGGCCAATGCAAAGCTGGTTACTCAACAAGAAAAAAAAAGCTTGATAAATATGTTATGTGCTTTTTTTGTGCATTTCTCAGGCACTCCCACTGAAGTCTATTGGGACCAAAATGCCCCAATAATGCTTCCAAAAGAAGCTCATGTACTTTTTTGAGCTACAGGTGTGTTGATATGAGCAACAGAACACTCAGGTGTGAACATGGGCAATTTAAAACAATGTGATTCCTCCTGCTGCGTGTTGTAGTAATTAGGCCATTCGAGCTACTAAAGGCTCAGGTATTAATGGGGCCTTAGGTCTAGGACTTAGGTCTAGAATCATACTTTAAGTATGATTGCACACTTTTCACACGGGCTGATCAGGAGAGGATCCGTGGACAGGTCCTCTCCTGATCAGAGCAGTACGGAGTGGATGTCACTGCTGTGACATCCGTGTCTGTATAGTTTTTTCATCCATCTTGCAATGGAGAAAAGAACTGAAACTTCCGGACTCCATGTGCGTCAATGTGGAATCGGATGTAAAGAGACATGTGTCTGTTTACATCAGGTCCAGCAAAACGGATCTCTGATATGTTTGCTTTTCCTGGACCTGGCTGGTGTAAATGGACACCTGTCGTTTACACATGGCTGCCCATAGACTTACATTGGGCATCCGATCGGGTCAGTCTGAAAAACTGAATGCGGACCCGGTTGGGCGGCCCGTGTAAAACGGGCATTACTAACATAATTCCTGTTTGCAACATTACTGTTTGCAGTCTCCTGGCTCTTAGTACATCTCATTGAGCTGTGCGAATTCTGCTCCTGGGACATAGGTTCCTCATTCCACTAAATCTAATTTCGGAAGCAGCACCCTTGCATCAAATGTAAGGGTGCAAACATAGATCTAGGCCATGCTGCCGGAAACATGATTTATCTTAGGCAGGGGTGGGCAGCTCTGGCCCTCCAGCTGTTTTGGAACTAAAAGTCCCATGAGGCATTGCAAGACAGGCATGACTCTCAGCAGCAGAGGCATGTTGGGATTTGTAGTTAAAGCACAGCTGGAGGGACCAGAGTTGCCAACCCCTGATCTTAGGTAAAGGTAATCCATCTCACTTCCATTTTTTCATAGCCTGTAGGGACAAATACAAATATATTATATTTATTGAACATACCGTTATACTTTAAAGAGGAACTCCAGTAATGTAAAAAGTTAACCCTTTCAGGGGGGCTACCCCTTCACTGCAATGGTTAACTGCTCATTTTTCTATAGGGGCTCATATAAAAAAAAATACTTACCCAATCCTTGATCTTGCCTGGCTTCCTCCCCCAGTATCTGGCAGCCTAAGCCCCTCTAACGTCAACACGTCTAATACAGTCCATTCACCTGCATTAGATGTGAGGATGCCAAAGAACATACCACAGCCGAAGTGGAGGGGAGGAGAGGTGTGCGCTCAATGCCATAGGACTGAGGATCAGCTGAGTGTATCTTCTTTACTCTGGCCCAAGCAGTTAACCCCAGGGTAGTCCCTCTGCAAGGGTTAACTTTTGTCCTACCTGGAATTCTTCCTTAAGGATGACCCTGCGCTAACAATGCAAGACCTGCTTAATACATCAAGCCTCCCACCCCCACTCAAAAATGCCACATTAATGCTATTAAAAAAAATTGTGAGATTTTGGATACTTAGCAATTCCTACCGGGATAGATCCTGACATCACCCTATCCAGTGCATAACCTGAGAAAGGTAAGTATGTTTTTTATCTCCTCTTCACATTTTTTTTACAGCATTAGTGGGGTGCTTTGGGATGGGGTGGAGGTGTTAGTGCAAGGTCCATTTTGAGTATTTACACCAATCTTTCTCAATCTTTTTACCCGGAAAGAGGCCTTGAAAAAAGGCTGGGATCTCAGGGAATCCCAGAAATTATTCTTTGATCTAGCTCTGATTGAGCTTGTGGAACATTAGTGTGACCAATAAGTTGTAGATATAACAACAAATAACAATAGCTACATTTTTCAGGGCACTGCCTAGGCACCATTAACATTTCTCCATGTTCCCTATAAAACAGGAAAACCTCACTTTTTGATTTCAGGTTCACTTTAAGATAAGTGTGGCTATTAGGTCATACTATTAAATGTGAAGAAAATAACTTATATAACTGGTTACAATTGTTGCCCACATGTGAGCTTCCAGAAGTAAATTATGCATATATTTTCAGTTTCCCACATTGATGAAAATGAGCCATTATGTCTTTTTTTTTTTTAACATGCATGATTACAGCAGCCTGGTATAATTAAGTGACTATTTATTTTCATTAACTAAAAATTACACAGATTGTATTAGCAGACAGGTGCAATGTGAGACATAGGGGGATCATTCACTAAAGGCAAATAGGCTGTTCACTTTTTATGTGAACTTTCCCTTAGCTTAGTAAATGTGGTAAAAACTCACTTTGCAAAGAATATCCAATCACAAGCAAGGGCAATTATATAACAATATTTTTGCTAGCACATGATTGGATGATGCAAGTGCTTCATCTCATTCTTTTAACTAAGGAAAATTCCCTTGCAAAGTAAAAGTTCCCTTAGAAAGTAAACAGCCTATTTACAATTAATAAACTCTTCCCCAATGAGAACACTCACTGTGCTAAACAGCACAAGGCTATGTGGTGGCTACGGCACAGCCAACGCTGGGCACAATACCTGCGGGATATGGCAGGTCATATTTCAACTCCAAGAAGTATTAATATTGCCACTAAACAGAAGGGTGAAAGGACCTAAAAAGGAAGTTTTCCATATGCGTAAAAACATGCAAATATATTGAATAAAATGTACTTTGTAGTTCTGATCTTTATTTACAAATTTGTGGTGGTAGGGTCTCTTTAATATATACAAGATAATGTTCATACCATTATCTTATATTAGGAAAACAAGTTCTAATTTTTCTTACTTTTTTCTCAGCTCAAAAAAACAATGGCTCAGGCCTAATAAAGCCGGCACTCATAAGACTTTCAGAACACTTGATGGATGGATACAAGAAAGGAATAAGGCCAGTTTATGACTGGAGACACACTACAGTAGTGAACATTGATTTGATTGTTTTTGCCATTTTGGGAATAGTAAGTTTCCTTACTTTAATTCTTGTTCCCTTATCCTGTTTTTTTTTTTAAATATCAGAACTATTCTGTGACTTGGCAGTCCATAAAAAACATGTCTTTTCTTTGTAAATCTCTACAGTTAATTGTGTTTGTTTAGTGTTTGTGTAACGTATCCTTTGGGGTAAAGACACTAACAATGGATTTGTAATAAAACAAATGAACAGCCAAATATCTGTCCATACAAAACATCTAGATATAATATTTAAATATACAAGAAACCTCATTCAAACAACCCAGCCACTAGCTACAAGAACAGATCGGCCTAATGTAAGCCATTATTCAAATGAGGAATAAAAACAAGCAATACATTTAAAGCGTTCAGTGATTTGTTTAGCAAAACACAACTCCCTTTATTCAGTGTAGGTAGGATATACTAAATGGACCAAGAGGTGACATTATTTTCTTATTTTCTATATTAAGAAGTATGTACATTGACGGGTATTCATTACCATACTGAAGTACACAGTTTGTATTAGTTATTTGACTTGACATTGAATAATTGGTTCCTGACCTCTAAAATCATAGGCACTTTGCATGTTTTTATTTAAATAACATTTGATACTTTGAATGTAATATACCTTTTCCTAGGTTGAGATTGAATTTTATTTTATGAATATCAGCCACAAAAAGTATGCTTTTTTAATGCCGAAAAATTAGAAATTGAGTCATGAACATGAGATTTATATTGTCCATATCATTATTTTTAAGAGCTTGTCAGTCAGTCAATAGTACAGTTGTAGGTATGTTTGTTAACAAGCTATATGTTATCTGAGGTGATTTTAATAAATGTAGTTGTATTCCAGAGTGTGGATCCCTCCTTGCTCTTGGACTACCTGGCATTCCATATTGCATGAATGTGAACCAGATAGAATAATACTTCCAGAAGAGCGCCCGTTGTGTGCCTAGTAATGTTACTTTATTCCAGCAAGTAACTAGGCAGTGACTCAATTTCTCTATTTAGTATGTTGATGCCTACCCTGCTTGTGTGTGTGTGTGTGTGTGTGTGTGTGTGTGTGTGTGTGTGTGTGTGTATAAATATGCATTATCTATCTATCTATCTATCTATCTATCTATCTATCTATCTATCTATCTATCTATCTATATATAGTCATGGCCAAAAATATTGGCACTCCTGCATTTCTGTCAGATAATGTACCACTTTACGCAGACAATTGTTGCAATTACAAATGTTTAGGCATTTTCATGTTTATTTCTCTTGTTTGTATTGGTATGACACAAAGAAGTGGAGAAGAAAAAAAAAGTCAAATCTGACACATTCCACGCAAAACTCCAAAAATGAATTGGACAAAATTATTGGCACCCTCAATTAAAATTTGATAGCACAGCCCTTGGAAAAAATAACTATGGGATTTAGATCTGGACTCATTGCTGGCCAGTCCAGTACTCTCCAGTGCTTTGTCTGAAACCATTTATGGGTGCTTTTTGACGTGTGCTCTGGGTCATTGTATAAACATGAGAATGCCTAAACATTTGTAATTGCAACAACTTTCTGCGCAAAGTGGTGCATTATCTGACAGAAATGCAGGGGTGCCAATATTTTTGTCCATGACTGTATATACACACACACAGTATATATATAGATAGATAGATAGATATATCTATCTATCTATCTATCTATATATATATAATGCTTGAGACAAATTAAATTCCATTTAAAAAAAAATATTTACAGACAGAGTGCTGAAAGGGAATAGCTTCTGCTGTTATCTCTCTCTTCAGAAGACCCACAATTCTCTTTGAATCATATGTCTTGGGAGAACAGTATATTAAAGAAGAACTCCAGGGGATATTTCTATTAACCCTGGCAGTGGGGCTACCCTGCACTGCAAATGTTAAGTGCTTGTTTGTTTCTAGGTGCTAAAAAAAAGTTATACTCACTTGATCATTCCAGATGCGTGTTCTTAGACCGGGTCCCTAGAGCCTCTCTCCCCCTCCTCTGCAGTTATCTAAGAATCCTTGTGTCATTACGCTGTAAAGACTTGAGGACACTGAGGAAAATTCCATCTGTGCAGAAAAGGAGGAGATGTGCTTCAGTGACCGGAGAAGCAGGAGTTGGTTGGGCGGTTCGGGTGTGTATAACTTTTTTTAGTACCTAGACACAAACAGGTTGTTAAACCTGCAACTTTCATTAAAACGGTACCTGGTGAATTTACTATGAAGCTCCTTGTCCATGAATGGGATCACAGTGCTCTGTCCTTGTCTCCCAATGGTGTTCCTGCATTCTCACCCTGTCACATATCACCCCTGGGAGAGGCAAAAGCAGTGCAATGCAGTCAGTGCTATGCAGTGCTAACACACATTGCATAGCCATGGTCCACCATTGTCTCTATCAGGAAGCCAGACCAGAGAAATTATGTTCAGCCAACACTAAAGCAAATGCATATAGACAATAAGTGGCTAAGAAAAGTTGGAGGTGAACAGCAGCGATACCACAGCAGCACTGAGAAGAAGATAAAGAAACAGAAAAAAACATGACAATCATGTATGATACACAGTGCACTGAGCAAACTAAATGTCATCCAGTTAGGGGTTACATCTACTTTAAAGTTCCCTACCCCAGTCAAAACTGTTTACATAGTTTTGAATAGGGTGAAAAAAAGATAGAACACCCGTCAGATTTGCTTTTGCAGAGTTTGTTCCCATTGGAGAGTCTTTGAGCAGAAAGAGATAGGTGACCTCTTCAATGGGGACACAGGCGGCAACAAACAAACATGGGGAAGGCTATGACCCCCTGTCTGGTTATTATTACTATCTGTGTCTTCCTGACCCCGAAAAACCATTTATAGGAAGCTAACAGATCCACTAGAGAGATCCATTCTGTGCTGTAGCTGTTGCTTTTCAGGAGACAGTCATAACAATAAGCATTCAGCAATTGTGTTGTACATAGCAAGAGAAGAAAAAAAGTTTGTATAATCAGCTTTATGGTCAGGAGGGTTCAGCATAAGAGTAATTGTATATGGTAAATAGAGTGGATCACAAAAACAACAGCTCAAACGGTACATGGAAAATCTAAAGAAACAATGGCTATGCCATAGCCTGTGGCTGCCTCGGCACATAAAAAGAGCTGCAAGGTACGAGTTGCCAGATCCCCTATTTATTCCCAAAGATGAGTAAAACGCATGCTGACTTTTACAAAGATATATGGTACTTATTTTAATAGAATTGCATATTTTTTTTAAAGAAAGTATTTGTCAATATCAAAAAATAAAATTGTAATTTAAAAATGTGCATTGTAGTGTACATGCATACCATTTTTACAAGAAATACATGTTCTTTCTTTTATTACCAGGAGGAAAAAAGCCAAGTGTTGAGAAGTTACCTCTGGCTTCTACAGGTAAAATACCTGGTTTACTGGCTATGTCATTTTCTTCTTTGGTATGCTATGCTTTTTCATTTATTATGTTTTCATGCTAATATATCTATCTGGTTTTTTTTAGTCCTGGGTTGATGAATTTCTCACCTGGGATCCAACAAAATTTGACAAAGTCACTCAAATTTCCATTCCTAGAGAACTCATCTGGATCCCAGATATAATGATCGTGGAGTTGTAAGTAATACGAAATCACAAAAAAACATTTCACATCAGCCTCTGGCCAAACAGAAGCCTATAATCTTAAGCTTCAGTCATAGTGTTATATTATACCTAGAGCCAGGTTAGTCAAGAGCCAGTTATCCTACCAGCATATTTTTGTCAAGGAACCAAAGCAACCAGAGGAAACTAGGGTAATATTTGGGAACATATTTATAATTAGTGGGCCTAAGAATGGGGGTGGGATAGAGAAATCAGTAGGGGGTGAGGCTAATAGTAGAGTGCAGGAGTCAGGAGTAAGTAATGCACAGGATGCAGAGATCAAGAGTAAGTAAGTGAGTGCAAAAACAAAATAACTGCCAGTAGTGGTAGAACATAAGAGGAAAGCATGAGCTAGATATCAGCAGCATCTCAAATATAATCATGTTGTCATCAAATCCACAGCCTGATTCCAGTCCAAGCACTCTTAAAACAGTGATACACTACTTCCCCCCTCCCCTCAACACACTTGCTCCCCAATTATGCCCACAACCAAGGAGCCAGCACCAATTATCTACTTACACTATACATGAGCAGTCCATCAGTGGCTGCTCTGGAAGGGGGAGACCCAAACACACTGCTGATGGCTTCTGTGACTCAGCGGATGACTGGAGAAATTGTATTTTACTGTAAAGAGGGCATGCTATGTCAGTGCCACCAGTGCCATGTGTAAGCTAAGTGACCAGAGCGGGGCATGTCTTGTGACTTACATGGCCCTTCTCTGACTGTCCATTCCCATAAGCGTCAAGTGATGATGACATGTTTGCAAACGATGTCTGACAGGTCTGAGATTTGACAAAGCTGGCATTGAGCCAAGAACCTGACTGAAAAGCTGGCATTGCCGGCTTGATTCCGGTAAGTTTCTAGGTATGCCTATGTTAATACTAGAACAAAAGTTCAACCAATGCGGAATGCATGCATCCTTTGTGGGAACTGTACTCAAGAGCCCAATATTATTGTGGATACAGGCTTTCATTTAGGGCAGGACACAGTTTACAGCTATTACACATACAGGAACATAACATGCACCTCCTTCTCTCCCTACCTTCAGTTTATATTTACCTATAGCCTTGTTACTCTGAGATTGTTACTGCGTGGTCTTCTACTGGGTGGCATACACAGTCTCTCACTGAGTTCATCAGAATTCTAAAAAGTGTTATCCAATCCAATAACTTTAATTGAGAGCCCATCTATCAGCTTGTCAGACACATGAAGTAAGAGGATACATGTGCAGGTGCAGAATTTTGTAAAGGTTGCACAGTAAAGATCTCAAATTAAGTGGGGTTGATAAGTAAAACTAGCACTGAATGTAACGGAGGAGGTACATAAAAGCCTAAGTACGCTAATAGTGCACTACCTTTGCAGAAAGCTTGTAGTTTAAGCTGCATCTTAATCACTTAAAGAGGAGCTTCACACTTATCTTTAACATGATAAAAAGGTAATCTTTAGAAATGATTACTAATGGAAATCTACAAACAGATACTTATAGATAATTGCAGGCTTTTTATTATGTGCATACCTTATTTTTCTTTTCCTCCCTTATTCTCATCCACAGGGATGGAGGACTGGCCTGTTTCAACAGCAGTGGAATACAGACCTGGGGAGCATTCAACAAATGGGCAGTTAGGGAGGACTTATGTTTGTGGGTGGAGGTATTCATGAGGTGAAACAAATATACTGCTGCGTTCTCCTCCTTCAAGTCTGCCATGGTCAGTTTCTCAACAATCCCCAAGACTTCCTCCCAAAAGGGACGCAGTTTCGTGCAGGCCCAGAAAAATATGAAACATTGTGCCAAGGGCCAACTGACATCTCCAACAGAGAGGTGAAACCTGCGGGAGCATGGAATGCAACAAGGTTGGTACTCTGTACCACTGGGAAACTATTTTATACTCCTGGACTTTGCAAGCGATCATATAGTTTCCCATGCTCAGCATGTTCGGCCGACCCGAAGTCGCGACTCAGCCGAGCCGATGCATATGCGTTTGGCTCGACTGAGCCGCTAGGCCACGTTCGGGAGCTGTACGGGCTATTGTGAATAGCCCGTAGAGCACCCCTTCGGTTCTACTAGTCCCTTCGGCAGCTTCGTGAATAGACCCCATACTTGGGGTCCACCAGGGGATTCTCCAGGACTCAAGTGGGCCAGTTCAACGCTGCATATATGCAAAATTTTGATTTGCTTTTCAGGCATTTTACCTATTGATGTAGTGATTGTCAGAGTTCATTTAATGAAAGTGTATTCTTTTCTTTTCAGTGTGGACACAACATTGTCTTTAGATACTCCATATGTGTATGTTGATTACCAAGGAAGAATAAATAACAACAGACCCCTTGTTGTAGCAACTGCCTGCAGCCTCAATACACACTATTTCCCATTCGATATACAACGGTGCTCCATTTCCTTAACCAGCTGGCTTCACACAAGTATGTAGTATGTAGTAATAATAATAATACTAATAATAATAACAATAATAATAATAATGTAATGATTAATGTTGCATTCTAAATAAGCAGTACAGTATAATACAAGCCTATAAGCATGTCTAAGCTAGCTTTATAATAATCTTTGAATTTACATACTAGATAATTCTGGATCTATAATATGTTATGTGGATTTTAGTTTTTTTCCCCAACTAAACAATGTCAGTTTGTTTTTCATTGCATTGTACAGAGGATATGTCACATTCAATGTGGAAAATATTTTGTGCTGATTTTTTCTTAGTCTGACTGTTTTAAATCTCAATAACCTGGCATTTTTACAGGAGTGTGTAGACATTTTATATCCATTGTATTTATATATAAATGTTCTTTGCATGACTGTTATGCTGACCCTTTGGATTTTATACTTGTGAGTCATGGACCTGCCATAAGTTTGCTGATCAGGAAAGTCAGATAAAAGTCAGAAGTCCTTATTTACACAGTTGTTTCTGTACTGTGACTCAAAATATAAAGGCAAAAAGGTCAGCATAATAGCCAAGCAACATGAATTAAGAAGAAGGAGAAGCAAGCAATGGATGCCTTTGTGTTGTGTGACAGGTTTCCTTTAAGTTCTTCTTGAACAGTTAGCCAAGTGCCTAGATTGATCCCTTAATGCTTATCCTGTTAACATTTGAGGCCTAACTCCAACCGAAGTTTGTTTTTGTATAGTTTTGGTTTCAGTTAGGAAGAGTTAAAACATTTAGGGGTCTATTCACAAAGCTGCCGAGGGCAGCCGAGTGAATGACCGATCAGAAGTGAAGTGAGCCGAACACCGTTCGGCTATTCACTTCAGGCTGGTACGGCTGAAATCAGCCGTACATCGGCTTGCTTCGAGGTTTGTGTATCTGTCACTGACCCCACTGGGGAGATTTTACCTCACTTTCAGTTGCTATCACAAATGGGAGATGTGGTCATCTGCATCTTATAACTGATGGAGAAATAATCAAGCAGCAGCAGGAAAGGTGAACAAAGCACAGACTCACAATGGATGAAGCAGAAGTATGGAGATTCTTGCACTGCAGGTCCTGAGGCACAGCTTCCCCTCCAGCAAATAGAACAGTGAACAGTACAATAGTGACAACACCAAATCTCACTCAAAACTTCACAAGACTAGCCATCAGAGGCAGCATTGCTATAGACAAATTACATTACATCGCCGATATATAGCTCTGAGGCTTTAGGCACAGGAAGTGAACTGCTGTATTAGAGGAATTCAAGAGAAAGGGTACATTTTTCATTGAACTTCTAAGGCACAATTAACTTCTTTGTGTGTTCCCTGAAAAAGAGTAAAACTTAACTTTTTTAGTTCAGGTCCACTTTAAATACTGTATACTATATGGTTTAGGTGTAATAGTGCCAGAAATTATATGCTCCCTTAAATGCTGCCTTGCTTATCTTTAGATAAAGATGTAAATGTGTCTTTTGTGGAAAAAAACCACAGGCTGAATCAATTCAAGAACAATTACTTGAATGACGGAGAATGGGATCTTATCAATGTTTTCTATAAATATAGACTTCTCAAGGATTATGAAAAAAACATTGGAGAGTATACTGTAAGTTTGAATTCATTTTAACTATTATTTGCACTATGGGGACTATTTATAAAGCATGGAAATTAATTAAATCACCAACCCTATCTCCTTTAAAGCGGACCTTTACACTCAAAAATCAAATTCTATCAATGCATTACTCTTTGTATGCTGATTAATAATAACATAGACATGCCATGTGTAAAATGCTGTGATTTTGAAATACTTACACTTGCAGAGCATTCACTTCCTGCTTTGAAAGGGCAAAATTACTTCAATTTGGGAAAGCTATGCACAGTGGGATTGCCTTGTCATCAGCAGAGCATTGCTAGGAAATCTCATCTGCAATCTCAGGAGATCTCATGAAAAGGCATTTTCCTCCCCTGAGATGATGTGCATGATCACAGGTCCTAGTCACATGTCTGCTCACCTGTGCCTGAAATCCAGGAAGTAATAGTCAGGTGTGTTTGTTAGATATGGGTAAAGGTCTGCTTTAACTATTTTTTTTAAACTGTCAAAATAATTGTAAACTGTCTTCTGCTTTTATTGGTCTCAAGTCGGGTTTACTTTTTATTCCCAGAACCTCATACTCCTTTAACTATAATTGATCTCCTTCAAGATTCAAGGCATGCTGTGGCGTAAAGCCTCAAAGTAAAGGCCCAGGGAGATTTTGCATCACAAATAAAAGTAGAACTAAACTTTGCTAAAAGAATCATTAGTTTAGTAGATCACTCTAAGTATAACAGTGAGATTCAGTTTTCATGTTTCCTGCCCTGTACATGTTTTCCCTTACTGTACTGAGCAGATCTCGTGGACTCTTTTTATGAACCCCTTGTGAATGTTTATGTGCTCCAGCAGCAGTTTTATTGCATGGCTTCTTGAAGTCCAGCTTAGGTGTGTGCAGTAATGATGAGTGAACTGGTCAGGGTTTGGTTCAAATGGATTTAGGGCTCAAGCCTAAGCGAACCAAAACTGGGAAGACCAGTGTCCTAGCAAACAATCACTCTGTGTGACCCGCAAAGCCGTATTAGTTGATTGGATGCTAGCAACTGGGGTGCAAAAATAGAAAAGTTATATTACGGTCCAGCCAAAAAAAAAATCTTATTTTTGCATAGAGTTAATATGGGTAAGAATCCCTTCTAGGTTTTTACTCCTATGTAGATCCTGTTACAAGTTCACTAGAGACAAGGAAAACAAATAAAGCAGATACGTTGCTAATAAGCTCCAATATGGCTTGCATCATCTTTATGGCGCAACACTAATGTGAAAGATGATGGTAACTCAGAATGCCATGTTGGTGTTTAAAGGTGGTGCCTAAAATACCCAGCACTGGTCCTGTGGGTCTGCAGGAACAGCGCTGGATATGACCGAGCCTACACCCAATGAAAAGGGTCTTACTCTATTTTGATACTATTCTGTTCTCTACTGAGAACAAAAAGCACTGGGTTGCTAGAAGGATTCAGTAGCTACTGACTTGTATATAGAGGTAGAGGTGAAATAATTTTAAAAAAATTAAAATTAAATTGTATCCCCTTATAGATAAATCCTTTTATTGAGTAACAATCAGACTTGCAATCTTGCTGGTTTGTTTCCTTTATAGCAGCTTTGACATAGGGTTTGAGTTTAGCTAAATATAAACTGATAAGGCATTGTGGTCATATTGGTCTCCAAATGTATGATATATACATCTTCAGGGATTTACATATACAGCAAGATATAAAAAAAGTGTCTGTACCAAAGATGATACAGCTTTGAATTAGTTTAACCTTTCCCAGAAGTTAGATTTTGGATAACAGGCATGACTTAATTTGTATTATAAAAGTGTCGGCATCTTACAACGTTGTGCACAGACCTAAGGTTTATGCTAGTTGTGATCATTTAAATGTATTAACCTAATCCACATGCTATAGTCAACTGTAAAATCATGTATGTCTGTATTTTACGTTGGTAGAAGGCATTACTTTTATACTGTATGCTTGACCTGTAATATTTTCCTTTTTGTGTAATAACAGCTAGTTATCAGAAGAAGACCTCTCTTTTATACCATTAGTCTAATTATGCCCAGTATATTTCTCATGGTGATAAATGTTGCTGGATTCTACCTCCCACCAGAGAGTGGCGAAAGGATATCATTTAAGATCACACTTATTCTTGGTTACTCTGTCTTTCTCATCATTGTTGCTGATACATTACCTGCAACTGGAACTCCGTTAATAGGTAGGACATTCCATTCTGCTACTCAAAACTCACTTTATGAACTCAGAGTCTTGCACTATTAGTGATTCTAAAGGTGTCTGAATTTTTAGGGGTTGATTTATGAAAGGCAAATGGGCCAATCACTTTGCAGGATAATTTTTCATTAGCTTAGTGAATGAGGTGAAGCTCAGCTGACTTCCATCATGAAAGGAGAACTATGGGGTAAGTGTTTTTCCCAATAGTTCTCCTAAGGGTCATGGGAGGCAGGCCCAGCGCTACTGCAAGGCAAGTCAGGCGGCCGCCTGAGGGCGCTGCAGGGTGAGGGCGGAAAAAAAAGCCGAGGTGTGAAAGTTTCATTGTCGCACGTCGGCTTGAACTATGATAATGAATGATTTTCACTCACCTCATAGTTCTCCTTTAAATCATGTGCAATCAAAAATACAGTTTTTTTTATTTTTCTTGCACTCTTTGTAAAGTTAATCTTCACCACATTCACTAAGCTAAGGGAAAACTTAATTGCAAAGTAAACCGCCTATTTGCATTATCCATGTTGCTCTTTCTACAGGTTTCCTTTAAGCCTCCTATCAGTATCAAATGTATGGACCAGTAATTTGTAATAAATTGCAAAATATATCAGTATTTTGATGATGATGTTGATGATATAAGTAAGGGAGTTATTCACTAATCTGCCAAATCAGTAACAGACTGAAGTGAAGTGAGCCTGTACAGCTATTCTTGGCTGCATATGGCTCGTTTCGCCTCTCTTCGGTTCTGCCGAACAGCCGCAGCCAAACTGCTGAACCGAAGGGAAGAGCCCATTCGCCTCAGCCAATGCAACATCTGGATTTGCTGACGTGAATGTTCGGCTGTTAATTTCCTGCTGTTCACCTATATTCTTAAAGGGGCTGAACAGCAGACAGTGAATTGCTGAATGCTCGGCTACAGCATGCAGCTCGGTCATTCTGTTCGGTACTTTAGAGGTAGCAAACAGAATGAAAAATGTTACTGTAAACAAAAAACAAAAACAAACAAAAAACAGCGTGGGGTCCCCTCACCAAATCATACCTGGGAGCCCAGCTCTCATGTAAGACTTCTTTTCCTCACCATCTTCAGCTTTTGCAATATATTCCTATTGAACAATATACACAAAGCTAAATTTCTAATAAAAAATCTAAAACATCTAATATTCAATTTAGTTCAATAGGCTTGTGCGTTATTGATGATAATATCAGTAATAGTGGTTGTATTACGTTTGCAGCAATTACTATTGCTAACAATTATTATTAGTATTATTAGTTGCTAGCAGTAGTATTTAAAATAACGCTACAAAGGTGTAAACCGGATCACTTAAATTAAATAAAAGCCTAATTTTGGATAACAGTAATGAATTAATCTGTATTATAAAAGTGCCAGTATCTTACCACTTTACGCCCAGACCTATGAGTGTCTAGGTCTGGTCCTAATTTTTAATATTTTTAAATCTGAATCTTTTATTAAAGTAATACCCAGTGATCCTGCCATGAAGATCTTTGTTCCAGCCAGTTATAGGCTGGTGACCAGTTATGATTGTCACTCTGTCACATGGACTTCTAACTATACAGGTGAAACTCGAATAATTAGAATCTCGTGCAAAAGTAATTGCAGTAAGTGCTGCAAAAGGGGCCCAAACCAAGTACTGAGTACATATGCATGCTTGTACTTTTCAGAGGTCCGATATTGTTCTATGTACAATCCTTGTTTTATTGATTGCATGAAATAATCTACTTTTTTCAGGTTGTGGATTTGGGGTTCTTGGGGTTTTCATGAGCTGTAAGCCATAATCATCACAATTATGACAAATCACGGCTTGAATTATCTTGCTTTGCATGTAATGAGTCTATCTCATATATTAGTTTCACCTTTTAAGTTGCATTAGTGAAATAAATGAACTTTGCACGATATTCTAATTATTCGAGTTTCACCTGTAAGTGGCCATTTCCCAAATATCATAAAAGCATAGTTACAGTTATAATATGGTATAATAAATGTATACCAGTTAGCAATTGTAAATAAAAAAGGTTTTGTTATCTCATTTTGTTAGGTATCTACTACTTAATGTGCATGGGATTTCTTATGGCCAGTTTAATAGAGAGCATCTTTATAGTGCGGATGGTCCACCAGCACAATGTTCATGCAGAAGTTCCCAAATGGCTTAAACGTTTGGTTCTGGAGAAATTAATTTCTGTTCTGGGTATCCAAAACAAAATGTTTGAAGAACTCCGGAAAAATCCCCCTCATAAACCTCAGGGCATGGAGACAGATGGTACTGGTAGGTTTCAGAAAATACTTTTCAAAGCAGTTATATCTTATGAATCTTTGTCCCTGTGGTGCTCCTTGCATCCTAGGCCCAGGCCTTGACTTTTGACCAAGCCTCTACACCAGATTTTAGCCTACAAAGGTGGTTAAAGCTTTTATGTGGACCCACATGGCCATTATAGTTTGTGTGGATCCATGTGTGGACACATCTAGATACTGGTGCCTGTTTTATTTTCTAACCCATAGTACTGACACGCCAATACAACATTTGGGAGTTTCAATGTGGGCATAAACCAGGGTATAAAGTGAGTATATTATTTAATTTAGTCCTAAAGTGGGATTTTTTTTCCCCCCTGTACCATGTAGCACTTTTGCTGTGGGTGGAAGTTATTATGAATAAATGGGTTTGCATTTTAATGCAGGATCTGCTTTAATTAAACTGAATTATTACATATATTTTTTCAATGTAGCAATATAGAACCGCTCTGAATTTTTTTAATGATTTCTGAACAACTAATAAACTGTCACTTCCCCACAGGTGAAATAGGAAATTTCAACGTTGTCCATCCAAGAGAAAGCCCAATGCCCACTAATGCAGTCTTGCCAGTCGCAGAAAATGATGGTCTCTTATCCAAGATTCTAAAAGAAATTGTAACCATCAGGGAGCATGTAAGAAATAATGATGAAACTATCACAAAAGAATGGCTGCAAGTTGCTTACATACTAGATATGTTTATCTTCCGTGCTTATCTCTTTGCAATAATCACGTTTGCTGTTTCATTGGTTGCTATTTGGTCCATTACGTATAAGGTGTGAACACTGTACTAGGTGCCATTGCCCACATAGGGAGAGCTCAGTGCTACTAGTTCCATTTTATAACATAATTGTTACAATGACAGATAATGATTTGAGGTATTTAAAATAATAAAATGTCCCCTCATTTGCATTTAGAGAAACCTTATACTACCACAGTAACATTTTGGTGGGCTGCGAAAACAAATTATGTCACAAACTGCAATATGATAAGGACGTCTGAAATGGTTTACGTTTAATTCCTTTGATTGACCCTGCATATTGAATAATTGTAAATGTTATCCACTATAGGGACCAAAACCCTTGCAAGTTAGTTTTTGAGTAGAAATAACAAATATATAATTATGTTATGCTTCCTATTTGTAGTTCCTATTTGAAATATGTAGGCAGATTTACTAAAGGCATTGAGAATCTTAAAACATTAAATTGTTTGAATATTCACTTTAATGATCTAATTATGAGCAAAGCCATTTACTTACTTTATCTGCTCATAATTTAAAGTTAACAGAAATTTGCTTTCCATATGATTGGCTAGTTGAAGTGAATATTTAAACAATTTCCTGCATGAAAATTCTCAGCTTCTTTAATAAATTAGCCCAAATATCTCACTTTGGTGAAACTGGCAAGTAAAAAATTCCATCCTTCTTAGCTGAGCCTTCTGGATGGAAGGCCAAGGTCCTTCACCAATGTTCTTTCCATGCACACAACTAGAGTGATATGACACTTAGGGGAAATATGTTGTGTGTCACTTGTTTTCTTATCATCCTAACAAACAGCCTCCAGCCTCCAACAAAGGTGAGTGCTGTATGGATATTCTTCAATCTTGTCAAATTGGATTGCACTTTACAGTTATGCTACACTCTCCATGTATCAGACTTACCACTGCTCTGAGAAGAGTTAGGCTTGGACTGTCTCTGTACCACTGCTCTTTTCTTCACTGTTTATGTTAAATTACATGCATGCATCTTATATTCTTGACTTGCAATATAGTTCGCTCTAAAGACATTTATTCTAATGGCATGATAAAGAAGACACATTTCAAAATAAAGGAGACCTCTGAGAAGTAAGCCAAGAAAGGGCATCTTATATAAAGTTCTGAGATGACAGTAGCCTGACCAAGCCAAAAACAGCAGCATCAGGTGACAATTACCTGACCATGGGGTCATACAGATGTCTATGCCGACCTTTTTTGTTTCCCCCTAAGAGAAATGGACCCAGCAGCATCTGCTGCACACCCCTCTCTTTTCCCCATTTTTCTTTCAAAAGCTATACATGAGTGCTTAGCCAAGTTCAGCATCTGTGTTTTATTTGCATGCCAGGCAACAGTAGTGCCTAAGCTTGGTCAGGTCATGCCTTCGTGGTCTACCATAAACTTAATGTCATAAGCGATTTATCAAATCTTGAAATCATTTGCAATTAGTAGAAGGTGCGTTTGACTATCACAATCTATACGAGAAGAGGATGTATCTTGTTGCACTCCTTACCAGATCAGTATATGTCCCGTGTGTACAAGTGGGTGCTTGTAGTGACCATGGATGGCGCAGTGAATACCAGACAAATAGCAAAGATGTCACCAGCACACCAATCAAAGTGATTCAGCAAAGTTTGTTTTAATGTCAAATTGCCATTCAAATTGCAAGCGCTTTCGGGGCCTCAAGGGGTCCTCTTCATCAGGCTCAGAATGACACGTCATTGTCATTTTGAGTCTGATGAAGGGGACCCCTTTTGCCTACTAAATCTGGAGTGCCGGTGTCTCTGCTTCTGTTTGTGATAAGTAGTACACGCTACCTTTTGATCTTTAGTTAATGTTTACATCTAATTTTATTTTAATAATATTTCTTTATTAAAGTTTTTGAAGCATTACAAATAAGAAACTCATCTGCAGCACACGTTAAACACATGAGTGAACAAATGTTATTATAAAAGCAGCAAGCAACAGGATTAAAGTAAGATCTTTAGAACTAAAACAATGGTCGCACTCCCATTTACTTTACATCTCATATTTATCAGCAGACTATTTTAGGCTTTCAATACTTTATTCTTTTTTTATTTTATTTTTTATTATGTTTGTGTTTAGCTAGCTTGTTTGTGAAACTAATATGTAAGTAATAGTAGTACTTTGGCAAAACAAACTCTCTATAATTTATGGCTGTCTAAGGGATTTATTTAAAATGCATAAAAAAAGATGACATACAAAATTAGACTACTTTGTTTTAAGTGTGAGCTTGTATAGCAATAAAGGGAGAACATAATAGTTATTAGTCAATTTTAGTCTCCTTAACATTTGGTTGTTTGCAATTCTATGAACTGAACTTTTGTACCATGTTCATTACTTTGATAAAAATCAATTAATACAGGGTGCTTCTATGACAGCACCCTGTATTCATTGATTTTTTTGAATTGAGATTGTAGTTCATCAAGGGAGTGAGCTTGGAGTGGTGGCTACTTTACAACACACACAGGGACCATGGGGAGGACCATGGGGAACAAAAGTAGCCACCCTCCAGAAGGAAGGACAGTGTCAGCAAAAATGCAGAGATTATTTGAGGAGTGATACACAAATAAGATACATTTTTGTTAATAGTTAGGGTACTTGAATGTATTTTTAAGATTTAATTCCTGAGTTTAGTGTCACTTTAAGTTGCAGAGTATGCTGAACTTACTCATATGAATACCCAGCAGCACTTTTCCCTGTTTTGCCTCTGTATACCTATAAATCTATATGCATCTATATGAGCTAACTAGAGGAAAAAAGTGTGTCCCCCCTTTTACTTAGTTAGCATTGTGTGTCATAAATAGTTTTGAAAAGCATGCAATAGTCTTTTCACAGCACAAAAGTAAATCTTTGCAGAAATTCTCAGCAGCCACGAACACACCACCTGCTGGCTACAAGGGGTACATTTGAAACATTTGTATTCATACATCAAATATTATATAATGTGTGTTCAATATGCTTACATGTGTGAAAAGAAATTAGAATAAAATAAAATTGAAAAAATAAAACTGCATGTTTCTTTCAGTGTGTTATCTCTAAAACAAAAATCTTTTTACACCATATCTCATTACATCACAACAACCTTTTGTGTCCAACCCAACTCTTTCTCAAGCCAGAGCTGCAGACCTGAAATGTTGCTAGGATGTAGAGAATAAAAAAATGAATGAAAAGAGCAATCATTTTTAAGATCTCCGTGTTAACCTGTTCAGATTTCACATGCATTTAAAACATTTATTTGTTAATATATTTATTAATTAACTTATTTACTTATCAATTCACTTCTCAGGTTAAAGTAATGGCTCCTGTTCAGCGGTCTAAACAAGCACTAAATCCAGTTACTCTGTGATGCACAAATCTTATAAAGTAAATTCAAAACTTCCTTCACCCTCCCTGACTCAGGCAAATCCTCCCTTTTTTGTGTCTCACATGTTCCCCCTCCCAGGCACTACAGCTCACAGCGGGAGGGATTCAGCAACACAGGCGTGGCTGTCATTTTTGAAAGCAGTGGGAGGGGTTAGGTCTGGCTAGCTGATGATTACCGAGCTACAGGCTAGTGAATCAGCAGTTAACATGCTGGTAGCCACTCCTCCAGCAACATTTCTCCAAGTAGTGCAAGCAGGCACAGCTTACATGAGAGTGGTAGCTTTGCTCTGAATTCAAGAACAGTACAGCCCTGATGTCACACATTCACAGGAAGCTACATTAGGGGGACTTCACTGGCAGGCTCAATAAGTATTTGTGGGACTTGGAAACAAAATTAGCAAAAGCTCCAGTCAATTTAGATTTTACAAGTAAGATGCAAATAGAAAGCACTTTTTGCAAAACAAACAATACAACAAAATTCCCCAGCACACAGCAGTTAGTAAAAAAAAAAAAAAATTCACTGTCCAACAATTTGCATTAAAACTGATTGCACACATTTGCAAATATACAAGGAAGCCACACTGCCTGTGGAAAAGACAGTATGTGAAAGCCACAGGATGAATGGGCTACCTTCAGACATATCTGCCCTTAATGTATTCTTTGATATATCTATAATCCAAGATAGAGGTACTCAGGTTAGATTTAGGGATCACACTACACAGAGGAACTTAATGAAGCAGTTTGTTTTTCAAGTATATTTCCAAATGTGTGCAACTAAAACCTTTGTTTTTGTGTTGGGCTTCAGGTGTGTCCATGCACCTTTAGGGAGGAATGGGCTACCTTCAGGTATATCCACCCTCAGTTCTGAACATTTATCAGAGGAGCCTTGACAAGGCAGTGTGGCTTCCTCATATATTTGCAAACGTGTGCAACTGCAAACTAAGTATAGAGGCATTTTTATTTAAAGAACAAATCCAGGATGTTAATTAGTTAACCCTTGCAAAGTTGTTTTTATTTTCCTTGCACTCTTTGCACAATTAAAGAAGAATTCCAGCTATTTAAGCCTTGCGGTGGGCTGCCCTCACATTACAAGGGATTATTGCTTGCTTTTCTCTAGGATACAGAATAAAGAAGAGATACTCTCCCGATCCTCGGTCCTGCAGCATTGACCACTCACCTCTCTCCCCCTCCACTCTGGCTGTGGTCTGTTTCTCAATGTCTTCATGTCTAATAGATCTGTATCCCGGGGCAGAAGAGGTTGTAGGGATTGGTCTAGCAGCCAGGTGGGATCGAGGATCAGGTGAGTATTTCTTCTTTGCTCCAACCCCTAGAAAAAAGCAGTTAACCTTTGCAGTGCAGGGGTAGTCCCACAGCAAGGATTCATTAAAACAATTCTGTTTACAATAATTGTTCTTTGTTTTTATTATATTAAAGGAGAACTATGAGGTAAGTGAAAATCACTCATCCTCATAGTTCGAGCCGAAGTGTGACAATAAAACTGTCACACGTCGGCTCAATAGATGCGGAAGTGAGCGAACACATACCGTCGCTCACTCACTTCTCGATCATCTATACGAAATACGTACAAAATACGAAATTTGGATATGGAATCCGTTAACGGAATTCATATTTCGGATAAAAAAAC